AGTGCTAATGTCTTTACTAAGGAAAGAATAACATTCCCTGATATTTTGGAGCTTAAACATTAAGATTCTTTTCTCTTTGTACAAAGGATAACACCAAGACACCTTATTTCAGATGTATCTTGAAATGCCAGATGAGAACTTGTCTTCCACCCCCAACAACGAAAGGAAAACAAACCTCCCAAAAATCAGCACTGTAAGCATGCACCCAGTGATGTACTGCTTTGTTTACTTTTTTATTGATGTGAAATGTTCTATGATTCTATTGTGATACAGGTTATTTAAAAACAAACATTATAAATAACTTTGAAACAGTTAGTCACTGTAACTAAGGCAACGAGTCTCCCACTCAATTTCCAGAAATAGGAGTAAGGAATAGAGGTAAGAACAAAGTAAAAAGTTGGCAGGAGCAAGAAAACAAATCATCAAATACTAGTTTGACCTCAGGATGGCCCAGCTGATTAGAGAAAAATATCAGGTATGGCAAATGAGAAACAAACTTGCTGACAAAAGATGAGGTACAGAATATGGAGTATATAATATCAAATATATTTAATTTCCATAATCGCATTCCACAACCCATTTCAGTGAATGGAACAACCGTAGGAATCTGGGAAAATAACAATCCATGCCAGATAGCAGACTGCCAGTTCAGAGTCTTAACAGCTACTAGTTTCCTACAGGAATCATCTATTTCTGTTGGTGTTGAAGAAATCATTTCTTAATAGAGACCTGCCCATTTGCTTCATTTTTCTCTCGATATTTGCCTCCAAATAATGGTCAGAAACCTTGGATGCTAACTACATGAATAGACCTTTATATCCTCCCAGAAGGCTGCTGAGTTAACAGGATCCGCCTTAAGGATCTGACTGCAGAATCAAGGCTTGCTTTGTTTCTCTCCCACCTTTTTTTTCCTTCTTCTTTTAAAAGGTTTATTTTCTTGACTGAGGAGAACTACTTGTTCACAAGTCAAAAGTTCCAAAGTTATCATGGGGCAATCTGATCCCCCCAAACGAACACGTGGTAGAACCAGGTTCTCTCAACACATTCTAATGGAAGGGCTGGTAATTACTGCATATAACAAGATAAACAGAGTTCAAGTTACTCAGAGTTGTCCATCAGCTAAAGAAACTTATCTTCGTAGCACATGTAAGTTCTTAGCCTGGGAACAAGAGAACTAACAATAAGACTTTAGGTGTCTTGGTAAGAATTATGATTTCTTAATTTAATTATCTTGTATACAGTTTGAAAAGATTGGACACAAATTTTAGGGAGAACATACAATGGACAACAGAGTACAAAGAGCTGGTTCTTAACAACTACAAGATTTATGAAAGAAATTATTGGGTTTTTTAAAAGAGTAACTTTAAAGTAACTTCTACCAAAAAAGTCCAAAATAAAACACACATCTCATTAGCCTACATCTGAACAGAATTTGTAGAGCAATACCACATAATTCCATTCCCACCATATCCCTCCCTTACTGAACAGCAGCAGCTCCTTTTCATCACCACAGGAGACCATTCCTTCTCTTAGTGTAACAAGGAACTAGTTGGGACATTTATTCTTGGCATAAATTCTAAAAGAATGAAGTCTAACGCTGGCAGTAATGAAAATAGCAACCATAGAGGCATTCAGAGCGTTCACTATGACACTGCAAACATTTGTTTAACTGCCAATTGAACAAGATCCATCTCAGCTACGAGAAAGATATAAATGGGCAATAAAGAAGTCAGTGCTCTCACTGCTCAAGGACTTTAAAGATAAGTGGTCATCCTAATATCCTCATGCAGTTGTTCCTACTCGGATCCTTACCACTCATGTCTGACTTATGGAAATAAATGCACTGCTTCTAGCAGTCTAGCAGTCATACAGGAAAATCCCATACAAAATCCTTCCACATGCCCATCATTATTAGCCCTAAGACATCTTCCTGTTACACATTTAAGATTCAGAGAAAATGGGAAATGCATAATATTAAAACTATGATGCACCGCAAGAAAAAATAAAGCTTTACCAAATACAAAGACACTGCATCCAATGAATTTTGCCAGAAATAGTTATACAGCTGCAAAACTAGAGAAAAAAACCCAAACAACAGGCCAATTTTTATTCATTTTACACCTTTCAAGAAATTTCTGCTGAGATGTAGGCTTATGTGAGCCTCAAAGACGACCTATAGGCACATATGCAGGTAAGGCCTGTAACAGAAAAGCTGTTGGGAAATCCAAATTTCACCTGCACGCTAAGGAAAAACTAAGCTGTCAATTACCTCTGAGGTGTAAGAGAGACTAATTCGCAGCCCCTTATTAGTGTTCCTAGAACCTATAATTGCATAACAAAAAAACCCAGAAGATAGTTAGCCTTTCACACTTAGCTATGCACAGGTGAGAGGGCTTTCACACAGGAGACCAAGGAGTACCACTGTGGATAACCACAAGCAAGTTACTCCTTTGTTTTCCCCCACTCCATACCTTCCCTTCCACCCACTTCCCCAAAAAGGGAGAAAAAAATTGTGCTAGAACATTAGTGACCCTTGACCTAAACTGGACTGTCAGTGCAGTTTCTAACAGCAGTGTAACACAGCATTTCAGGAAGAAACAAACTTTTCTAGGCTTTGTCTCAGAATTTTTAAAGCAGCATCTCATTAGAAGAACCTGGTATACAAGCACCAATATATGAAGACAAAACGAAAGCAAACAAACTTAAGAGCAAATACCTCAATTATAATGTACATTTACCATATTTTTCATCTCTACCTCGAATAGTTTAACATTCAGAATTTGCAGATTTGCTTCCTTTGTTGTTAAATAACAACTGCACAATACTGCACAAAACCCCAAGAGCAACGAGAACAACCTACAATTTCTAATTTGCCACTTGAATGATTGCTTTTCTATACCTGAATTACAGGTTGCTATTGAGCATTACAAGTATCAGCTTTGCCCAATACAGTTCAATTTAGCTTTAAATGCAATTTTTTGCAAACATGGCTTATGAGTTTTTTTGATACCTGATATACTTTGTAAGCAAACATAAGTCACTTCTGAAAGTGCAGTGTGCACCCTCAATTTTGTCAAAACTTTGGAATATATTCCTGCCTGGTAGGATGGCAAAGCAATAAAGCTCAAGTAGCAACACAAATTTATAGACAATGTACTGGCTGGCTGGTTGTTGAACCCAAGGCCTACTTTTCTCAGTGGGGGAAAACCTGTATTCTGAAGGTTAAACGTGTCAAATCAGCCTCCACAGACAAACAAATATTTGAGCTTCACAAACACATTAAGCATCTGCAGGATCAAAGTTTTGTTTATCAGGTACTAAGTAAATTAAATCAAGCAAGCGGAACTGGGATTTCACCCTCTGAGCTTAACTAAGAGCCTCAGAGCAGAATTTCTCACCTCATTGTAACTTCCCGAGCACTGCTTTGACACCAGCTTGCAGCAACTTGAAAAACTAAGCAAGTGCAAGAAAACACTAAGCTTCTTGTATGGCATAAGCCTGCCTGTCTCCAGCATAATTCTGACATTTAGCACAGAGCCCTTCTACATGATCAGGGAATAAAATCAACAGGTTTGTGCTGAACTTGGAAAAATAATCTTGATAATTCCATTTAAATAATGCTTTAGTTAGTAAGTTTTTTTGTTTCAGAAAGTTATTAATCTGACAGTTGAAGAAAGAAACTAGCAAATCACTTCCCAGCTGAACAGTACAAACAACAGAGCAGCCTTTGCACTTCCCTGTGAAGCACAGCCACCACTGAAGACAGTCACTCTAAGGACTACAAATACACAAGACAACTTACTTTATCCTAACCAAACACACCACTACGGAGCAAAGCAAATGGTTCAGGCACACAAGAAGCACCTTTCATGAACTACTGAAGAGGAACACCTCTGCTCCCACCCAGTACCACAGGCAGGTTTTCATAAAGAGCAGGTGGTGCCACACTCTCCGTACAGCATCCTCAGCTCAAGACATCCTGCAGCACACTGCAACAGTGACCTGCAGGAATGCTCTGTGTACCAAAGCCGAGGGGTTTCATGTTAACGTGATTCCTCATGACTTTCTGGCATTCTCGCTCAGTTACAACAGAATTCAGTTTGAAATAACTGATTTGTCAAGCAACTGACACTTTAGCAGCAGAAATGCAGCTGCTGCTAAAAATCACTCCCCCTACAAAAGACTGCCCAAAACCAGCATTCCCTTCCTTCCCTCCATCCCTTCCCTGCCCTAGCACCCCCTCCTTTATGTGAAAGAATACTTCAATTCCAGCGTATCAATTCCTCTTTACAGATCTCTGAAGCCTCTAAAAAGTCTACCTTGTACTACTTCTAGATTAAAACTTCCATTATGACAGAGGCTGAAAGCCTCACATGCATTACTCTGTCAAACCAATGGTCCCACACAGTTCAATATTTCACTTCAACATCTGTCAACAGCAGGACCCTCCCCAGAAGAAAAGTTCTGAATACAGTACTTTGATGTTAACATATTGATAATGTGATTTTTGCTAACTACTTTGCAATGATTACTTGCAGAAGTGTTGTAGTTCTTTGTTTTAGCAGAAAGGCTTATTTAATAGAAGAGGCAAACAAGTTCTTATTTCTGTGGGAAGTCTCCCACAGAAGAACAGCGACAAATCCTGAAAGAAAATCTAACTCAAGGGACACTAAGTGTCTTTCAGATCCACAATTGTTGCTGATTCATAGATGAGGTTCTAAAAGAACATGAGACTTCACAAAGTTTACATACAACACAGCAGAGAGATAAGAGATCCCAGCCCCATATCACCAAATGCTCCTTAGAACAAATCCTGAGGGATCATGCAACCTAAGTGTGAAAACACAGATGTGTGTGTAACTAATGAAAGGACTCGCAGGTAAGGATGGGCTGATACCGATCAGCATAACAAACAGACACGGAATAACAGCTGCCTAACCACCCCCAAGTTTCTACAGGCTTTTTTTTTCTGCGTTTTTTTTGTGGGGTTTTTTGGTTTTTTTTTTGTTTTTTTTTGGAAGGGGGTGGGGTCTTCAAGTGTTACAGTTGGTTATCTTTAAGGAAGATTAACAAGGGGGTTGTTTTTTTTTTTTGGAAGGGGGTGGGGTCCTCAAGTGTTACAGTTGGTTATCTTTAATGAAGATTAACAAGGAGACTCACAGCAGGATGTATGAGTTCTTTACAGGGAATTTGGCCTCACACACATGAAAACACGAGAAAATACTATTCCTAAGAAACATCTTGTCATCGGCGGCAAACTGGCAGCGCAGACCCTCCCACCTTTGTATCCTGATATCGCACAGGAGACAATAGGTAGGACAGGGGAGACACCAGGAAAGGACAGAGCAGCGAAGACAAGTATTTTTCACCAGCTGGGATGGAAACCCAAGAGCCTGGCAGACAAAGAAGGGTGTGATGCGACGGCAGCAGCAGCCCACCGAAGGCACCACGAACCTCCTTCGCTTTCAGGAGGGCAGCGCGGGCTCGGCGAAGCTCTGTCACGACCGCGGGAGGCGAAAGGCACGGCGGCCGAACAAAAGATTTTAAAGGCCTGGAAGGGAAAGGTGGAGGGACGAGCAGGCGGCTCCCGGGCACGTGAAGCTGCGCAGGGCAGGGGCCGGCTCCGGCTCCAGCCCCGTCTCCCGGGCACGCCGCCTCCCGTCGGCAGCCTCCAGGTCGATCCCCTCACACCGGCCGGCTCCTCAGGCCCGGGCAGCCCCGTCCAGAGACCCCTCCCTTCCCAAAGAGGCGCGGGGCAGGGCAGGCGGGGGAGCCCTCAGAGCCACCCCCGTCACCGCTCCGGGCTCCCGCTCGCTCCGGGGCGGGTCTCGGCAGGACCCGCCGGCCCCGCTGGGGGCGGGGCCTCGCCGAGCCCCGCCCTCCCGGCCCCGCCCCGCCGCTCGCGCCGCCGAGCAGCTTCCTGAATGAACCCGCCCGCCCGCACCACCAAGGGCCTCGCTGATTGGCCCTCGGGAGGCGGGGCAAAGTAAGGGCGGCGCTGATTGGCCGGCCGGGCGCGGCGGGCCCGGCACGGGGCGATAGCGTGGGGTGGGCACGCGGGAGCGGGAGCGGCCCTTGGGACAGCCCGGCGGGGCTCGGCCGCTCGGAGCCACAAGCAGCGGCACGGGCGGGATCGCTCCGGCACCAAGGGCAGCTGCGGGTGCCGCTGGCCGGGGAGGGAAGGAAGGAAGGGAGGAAGGGGAGCCGGGGGCATCGTGCCCGGCAGTGTCAGCAGGCCGCACAGAGAGGCGCCCTGCCAGAACGCCAGACGGAGCAGACGAGTACACAGAGTACGCACAAATGCAGAAGATGGCTAACTCGAAAAAGAGAAAGATGGTTTCGCGATGTATTTATTCAGCGTTCACCTCTTTTGGCAGAGGACCAGCAGAGGTGTCGTCTACAACGCTCCCGTTCTGTATTCTGACAGATAATTTCCAGGTTGCTGTGTGCTGTGCATGTTGGGATAGGCAGGACATAGGTGGGACTTGAAAAACCTCTTGTGAAAGGACGAGAAGCAGCGCACAGGACACAAATCAGAGCGTGCTGCTCTTCCATAAAATAATGCTGCAGCCAGCCATGGTAACTATGACTGGCAAGAGTTATTTTCTCCTGAGTTTTCATTTCCCCTCAAAAAAAAAATAGCAGACTCGAGAGACTGAGGAATTGCATACTGCTACAGACAACAGTGATATGAATATTTCAAGTTTCTTGATTTTCTCTTAGCTTTGAAATAGATTCTGAGTTCTTAATGCTCCACATACACTTAAATCTACTTAGACTTTGTTATTAATCTAAGGAAAATGAATGTCTAATAAAGAGTGTATTCTGTGTGAACACTCATTTGCTCTCGCTCATGGCTTGTTATTGATCCAGCAGGAGCCTGGCACGTGAACATGTTCTTTTGGAGAACAGAAGAGTTTTCTGTAGGTGCTAGCTGAAGCTAACTATTTTAGTTAGCTTTGAATACCAGTGATCTGATGGAATGTGTTGGTTTGGGTTATTTTATTTTAACCAGTTAGGAATTGTCTGATTTTACCAGGCAAAGGAAAAAAAAAATCAACCTTGCCATACTTTCTAAGTGAATGTTTTTGACATCTGGATATGTCCAGAAATGCTGATTATTATAATTAAATGTTTTCATTAATTTCAAGTAGCCCTATAATTTATTATTTGTGTACCTATGGTTTTTGTTGTTTGTTTGTGAATAGAAGTATTTTGTAAATTGCAAATATGAAACAGGTAGATTTTGACACTGTGCAAAACAGTTAAGGACTGTGATAACAATGTGGTAAAGAGACCAATGGTTGTGGAAATTAGAGATAATTTTATCAATGCAGTCAGTGAAGAAGAAAATTACATCAGAGGTGTTGCCTTTGTCTGTCCCCAAATTAGACTGCTCCTTTTCAAAGTGAAAAGAATGTCTGGGAGCTGATAAAGTTCTTCTCCCTGTGAAGCTTATGAGTTGGTGGAGTTACTCAGAAAAGCATCTACTTTCAGCTCACCTGCTATTTTGAGCAATTTATGCAGACAGTTTATCCTACATGAAAATGTCTCACCTGTCTCAGGAGCACCTGGTGCAGCTTGGAGCCAGGTCCTGACTCAGTGGGGGAAGGCAAATCTTTTACATTTTCAGTTTTCCAGCTCCTTGCTCCAGTACTCAGCATACAGCCAGGGACAGGCCTGTTGGCTGTGCCATCTGCACTTAAATATGTCAGCAACCAACACATCTCTGACCACTGATCTTTGCTTTTTTCCCCCTCTGGGTTACAAGAGGGGGAAAATATAGCATGAAAAAGTTCAAATGGTAAAATGCAGAAGTAAAAATATGGATCTTGGAGATACCTGTCTGTTCAGTTTAAGCACGAGAGGTTGTTGAGATGGCTTGCATACATGCAGGGGATAACACAGAAGTGGGGATTTTCTGAGTGTTGTTTCCCTGATGCCAATCAGTTGCATGTGGATATTTTTACTCAAGTCACAATATAAATTGCTGCCTTATTCTTACTCTGTGAAAAGCAGCCCAAATGGCTATTAGAACTGAAACCAAAAACTGAGAATATCACCAGTGTCAGTATTGTCTGATCTGCTAGCGTGCCACAAAATACAGTATTTGACTGCAGAGTGACAGAAATAGAACAGAACTTAAACCTCAGAAGTTAGATGTAACAGTGCTGCAAGGAAATTAGCACTTTTAAATGTTTTGTTGAAGGGTAAGTCACTTTGTTACCCTTTGTTAAAAGGTAAATAACTGCCCAAGCGTCCCTTAGGAACCTTCAGAATATTTCACACAAGTCTGAGTATTGACACACAAACACACTGAAAGCCACAGCATTTCTGACAGAGTTCAGAAGACATGTCTGCAGAAGTTAGAAATTTCCACAACGCTTTTTAATTGGACAATTTGTAAATTATTAGCAGCCTGGCTCTCCCAAGGGCACACTTTCAGCAGAGAGCCACAGGCTTTAACTGCACAGCTCCCATTAATGTTAATATTAAATCTTCGTGCTGTAACTTATCCCACAGCACGTAACACTACCCAGTGTTTTAAAGATAGGACCATATGTGCTGCACTGAAATACGTAATGGGATCAAATTGAAGAGACCACAGAAACCTCACACTGGAGATACTTTTTGAGCTCATCGGAAATGTCCTTGTGATTTATTTGCTTTGCCAGGAATGCCTGTATACTTGGCTCTTTCTGACTGAGGGCTTCAACCCCAGTGAAGTAGGTATTCATTCTTTTTTCATTGTTCAACGGGGGTAAACAGGCACAGAGGTCAACAGGCTTACACAAGGTCATGGCATGAGTCACTGCTGTGGCTAGGAATAGAATCCAGGAGTCCTCATTGCCACTGATCTCCTCCAAACGCTGCCCTGTACTCCTAAATTACAGCAGGGCTAATTTTATTTTTGCTCAGAATACAAGGTGTCTGAAATCAATAGAAATGTTATAGTTTCCTACAGAGGGATTGCTACAGCAGAGAGCATTTCTCTTTATGGCTCTGAATCAGCAGTTCTGGGGAGCTAGATGGAAACCACACTCATTTCGTAATGGTATGCTGGGAGCATCATCATAAAGATTTTTACAGATTCTGTGACACATTTTATCCATCAAAATCTAAACCAGTCAAGGTTTTGTAGTTCTGTCCCAGAGATTACATTTTGAATTGTTGGCTGTTCATAGCTACTGACTGTACTGGAAACATATTAAGTATCATAATGTCTTCATCAATCAGATATCATCGATTGGCACTTCTAAAGCACCATTATGCTTATGGTGGCTCATTTGACCAATTTAGTACCTGTCTGATGCAGACAGGAGATGAGAGAACTCCTGTGCCCTCCTTATTCAAGGAACAAATTTAATATCCAGAGGAGGGTAGGGCAAATATGAGTGTCCTTTGAGCAATCAGCAAGGGACAGGAGCCAGCAAAACAGCTCTAAGTTCCTATCAGTCCTGTATTATAAGGAAAATTCAAATAGAAGTGAGAGAAAACAGAAAATTAAGAATATATAGAATGAGGTAGCAGCAGCAATAAATTACATCACTTGCAATTTTATCTGGACTTGCATATTAGAAATCTTGTTCACATTTCTTCTAATTTGAATAACATGCAACTTTTTTCCCCCATAAATTAAGTTTATTTTCTTCAGCAGGATAGGGTCTCAAAGAGGCACAGGAAAGGTACAAGGGACCCTGGCCTCTGGGTGACATAGAGGAGAATTTTATCCAAAATCTTCTTATTATTTCTTTTTTTACTGTCTCCTAACTGTCCAAGCATAGTGGAATGAAGTTGTATGCTTTTGGGAATGAGATCTTAAAAAATTATTAGTTCTGAGTAGCTGTGAAGCCAAAATTAATATATTAAACTTTAAAGAAATAAATTTTATTTTTAAAATTACCTGAGACATGGAAAGAGAAAGAAAAACATAATTAACATATTTTCTGCTGTTAGCCCACCCCAAGATGATTTATTCTTAAAACACAGTGAATATCAGCACCTTTATAAATTCTCACATCGAACTACCTTGGATTAGTGCTTATGGACTAGAATATTTTCTTACATATTTCTTAATATAAAAGAAATAGAATATTTTACTTACATTTTATTTATTCAACAAAATACTCTGCTTTGTTTATATAAATAACCAAATGCCTCAAAAGATTTTGGGAGTTTTTCAGGCTCATTGTATACCAGAGTGGACAGTATTGAATAACTGGAAACTCCAGTGGGATGTGATTTTGCAAATTATTTTTTCTGGCTTGGCCAGTTCTTTAAAGACTAACACCCAACGTGAAGCACCTAAACCTAATGAGAGGGGATGAGTTTTGGTCAGTCACGTTGGCTAGCTGAAAGCTTTATGCACCACAGAAGTCTTGTTGGGAGGTTTCACCTGCTACACAGGGATATTTTGTTGAAATGCGTTTCACCAGTTTTGTATTAAGTGGAAGTAGTGAAAGTATTAAAATGGAAATGCCAATTTTCATGTGAGAAGCAAAATAGAGGATCTCACTTCTGAATGACAAATTTCTGGGCACCCAAACCCCTTACTTTCTGATGGTGGATGATATAATTCAATATTGCAACCAGCTGCCTGTTTAGAAAAGAGGATTTCTGCATACATAAATTTCCTCTCCTGATGAGATGAAGATCACTTATTGACTATATCCTCTGGTTTTTGCTTTCAGATTGGTTTGGTTTCAATTGTGGGAAAGTAGTTCCAGTGAATATTTTACGTATTTGGCTATAAAGCATTGAAGTGGTCACCAGGGTGAGGGTAGGGAACCAAGGGAAGAGACATTTTTTCCACTAGCCAAATTCTACTGGAAATGAAACTTCTGAAAATTAGCTACATGTAACACAATATGAGTTCAGAAAGGAGGACAAGTTGAGGTTCTGCTTTCACAAATTCCCTTTCACACCCAACACTCTGGGAGTAGGTGCCATTAAAAAGGGAACAGTGTCTATAAGGAAAAGTGAAGGTGAAGAAAAGTTTATTTTTCCAATACCACAGTATTGCTGCAGTAATGGTCAACTTTCTCAGCTCTCATTCCCCTCAGGACAGCTATATAAACCAAAATGCAGTAGCTATACACACGTATTCTTACCTAGTAATAATGTGTTGCCTGATGCCATCTCAGGTAATTGGCTATTACACATCCAAACGTAGTAATGTAGCTGCATTGCCACACGTTGAGAACCTCCAAAAAGACTTTTAAGTTCATAAAATACACTTGTCTGCTCCTTAACTGCTACAGCAGAGAGCATTTCACTGTCCAAACACGGTGGAAAGATGATCACTGTGCAGCCATCATGGAAATAAGATTCTGTCATAAAGAATATCCATCCTTAAAGCTGATTTTTTTCTTGGAAGTATGATTTTTTTTGAATACTTTGATGATATGCGTGAGCCTACAGCCACACAGGTATGTATGTAAACTCTTCTCAGAAAAATACTTTTATCATCTAAAGGAATAAAATGCTTGAGGCAGAAGACAGGAATCTCTGGGAAATACACTACTGTGATGAATACATTTGTCAGCCAAGTGCCACAGTGATGAATTTCAGGAAAGATGAAAAGGTTTTTCATGACAGCAAGAAATTTGTAACTCAAAGAAGAGAAAATGAAGCAAACAGTTTGCATTTATCTTTGCATCTTAATAGACAACTTTATTCCTGTTTTCAGGATGTTGTCTTCATTCTCATGCTAAAGGATTTCCATTTGTATAAAATATTAAAACAAAATGGAGTCGTGCAGGTTCAGGTTAGTACTGTGTCAGTCAGAGCAGTCAGAGAACCAATATATGGATATTTTAGTCTGAGATTTTTCATTAGTAAGGATTTTGGAGCTGCTTTGGACCTGACACTTGACATGCACAGAGAAAATGCATTAAAATACCTCCAACTTTACTATTAATTAGGATTTGATAACTTGCTGCTCCTGCCCTTCCCTAGAACATATGCCACAACAAATGAAATCAGAAAGGTGTTTCAGCTCTTTCATAGTTGGGTCTGCCACTACAGTGCTGGAATCAGTGGTTTTGGTTTGTTTTTTTGTTTTTTTTTCTTTACTAGATGAAAAGATTGAGCCCTGAGCTCCAGCAAGCTGTGTATTGTGTGTTTTCTGCTCAGAGTCTGTATTGGTGATCTGCTCTCCCTATTTACCTGACACAGCCTGAGTTTTTTAACTTGTAGGGCATGCAGAATAACCTGTATTTTCATTTTCTAAATAACAAGTATTATACTTTTCTTGGAAAAGTGGAGAGAATAACCTCCACATCAGCCAGCACTGGGATGGAGGTAATTAAAGCTCTTTTACTGAAGACATTAACACCAAATATTCCCTAAAGTACTGACTGTAGAGTACTACATTGCCATGAGGTGAATTTGCTAAATTTAAATTTACATACACTGAAATAGCATCATTTTACAGAAATACTGGAAAAGTTCCATGTAACATATTTGGCAATGGCTCTGTACAGGCGACTGGTCTGTGCAACACTGTGTTGATTTAGGGAAAGACTTTGCATTTGCCCACATGCCCATTAGTAAGTGAACTGGAATGTGAGCATGTATTGAAAGTGCTGCACACATGGTATAGTGTGTTTCTAAACTGCAGGTTTTCCAATTCTATAAAATAAGATGAAATTTATTTATTATGTCTCTGAGAATTATGTCCTGCAGTCATACTGTGGAACTGTGTTACCATCATAGTTGGTTTTAAGTTGATTGCCTTGCAAAATATGAACTGAGGATGAGAATCACTGTTAGACCTGCCATGCCATCCCTGCACTATAGCTCAGACACAGCCACCCACACATAACTGTATGTTACACCCATATAAATATATCTATTTCCTTACTGCTGTCATTTAGAGCAGACATTTGGCTGAATGTGAAAGTTTTCTTTTTATTGGTGTTATTACTATTTGCATTACTATTCCAGCTAGGATTTCCTGCTGTTCATTTCTTTCACAAGTTTCTGTAAGCATCAAAACAAAACCCCTTCATCTGCAAAACCAGCATTTTGGTAGGAAAAATGCAGTTTCTGTTGCAGAGATGGTGCCTGAGGGGGGGGGCAGAGGAGGCTTCTGAGGATCCCTCCTGCTGGGGGTTTGTATGGAAGAGGTTGTTCTGTGGCAGTGCCCAGGCAAAGGTCAGAGCTGCTGAGCACCAGGGGGGTTTTAGGGGTCTGAGACACTTTTGTTGGGGGCAAACCGGTGAAGTTGAGGTGAACGAATCTGCCCATACTTCTAACACTTCCATAAAATAGCATGTCCATCAGAGCATCACAGGACAGAAAGAGTCCTGAATGCACAGAGTTCTGGCAGCTTTTTGGAGAGAAAAGGAAGCCAGGTTGCTGCAGCCTGCACTGCACCTTCCTCAGCCACCCCGAACCGCCGGTGCCAGCCTTGCACTGCATCTGGTGAGAGCAATGGATCGGCTCCACTGCATGATCATACCTGGTGTTAGGCATTATTAACAGTTTCACTTGTGGAGACTGGCCAGAATTGTGCTCGTTTTTGTGCCAAACAAATACAAATAAAATGTAGTTCAAAAGTCCTTTGAGTGTCTGATACCTTTGCTTCTCCCAGATGAAGAAACCCAGCACAAACTCCTTCACCTCACATCTGATACAGACATTTACATCTTTGGGGCTGAGGTCACTGCACCACTGCCCTCCCAGCATGGGAACCCAGTGATTCCCTCTGCACTGATGTGGCCAGATCCTGCATTAAACAGGCTGTGACTGCTTAGTCCATTGTTCACAGGTACATGGAATGACTCACAATGCAAAACAGAAGTACTGTGCAAGGCAAAGTGGTTTTGGCTGGGAATCACGTATTCATCCACCTGAAATCAGTGTTTGTTTTCTTTTAGCAGGCTTTTGGACAGGCCTGCATGGGGCCAAGCAGTGTGAGAACACACTGGCGGGGAGGGAAGAAGAATGTTGACACTTAAATTATGGTAGTAAAAGCTGCATATCTCAATGTAAGATATGTATCTGTGTGTATGTATTGGCAGGTGTGCATGTGCTGAGCTGCAGGTTTTCACCCAGTGTAATAATTCTTGTGATTTCTCTCAGACCATCAGCAGTGCTGAGCTGTGAAACCATCTCCTGATAGCTGATTTTCCAACTCTGTCAAAATACCTCAAATGCATAATATATAATGCATATGGGCATTCTCTGATCACCCATAAACCCAAGAGGAGATATACATAATCTGAAACTTCTACTGGTTCATGGGAGGTTTTGATCTTCAGAGGATTTGCCAAATTAAATCAGCAGAGTGCAAGGGAAAAGTATTTCCTTATTTCCTGATGACAACTTACTGGGCAGGCTCTGTAGCAGTAGGTGACCCAAAATGGGGTGTGTGGCACTCCAGCAGGTCAGTGGCCTGGGAGCTCACTCACCAGCACTGGGTGCCTGCAGGTGCCTGCAGCTCAGGGACCTCACTGCTCACCTGGAGCTGGCAGCAAGGAATCATGGCCAGCCCCAGGCAGCATGTGCCCTCCACAGCAGCCTGGTAATTTTTGTTTAAGTTATCACGGTCAGATTCAGTTTTCTGATACATAAGGGTCAGATATGCTGGATAGATAAAGAACCACCAAGAAAAGGGTGGTTATATTATCTGAGCAGTATGTAAATCTTGGTTTGTGGTTGTATCAATATAGTCCTTCTGAAAAGTCTAAGAAGATGTGCAGTCGGTATTTCATGTACCCTAAAGGTTAAGACTGCAGCAAGAATTAAAAGAAATACTACCTTTCTTATTTTAAAAGACCTTATGACTTCTGCCAGCCCAACTCAGGATCTCTGAATGCTTGGGGCTGGCACTACCATCATTTCCATCATCACACAATCCCTTTTCCAGCTCCCCTGAACCAGCTTGGTGCTCTTCCATGTCAGGAAACACCAGGGTGGATAAAGTGAGCTAACAGCAAGCCCCTCACTCTTTCCTGTTCCTCAGAAGAGGAGTTTTGCAGTGAGGCTGTAGTTTCACAGGAGCTGCTGCAAGCAGCTGGGGATGTGAGCATCCCTGGATGCACTGCCAGGAACCTGCTTCTGCCACCTGGGCAGCCAGGCTGAAAAATAACTTTTTTCTTTCTATTTTTGTCTTTTATTTTTTTCCTGAATGATCTTTAACTAAGACCTGTCCACTGAGCCAGCTCATTGCACAGTCACAGAAATAATCCTTCTAGGCATGGTCAAGGACGGCACGGGGCTGGGAGAGAGGGGTGGGAGTCATGGGACTGCTTCCACTGGCTGCTGCCAAGTGCATGTGTGAAAGCACATCCTGCTAGCAAGGCTGGGATGTCTCTGGGCATTCACAGCTTGACTTAGGGCCTTTTGTTCCTTGTTAAATATGATTTCTAATGACTATCGTAGATAGAAACTGTAATTTTTTTTCCTGCTGAAACCATGTAAAGAAGCTGTGGGATAGGTGGTGAGTGTTCCCATCAAAACAGACACTTCTGTGCAGGATATAGATTTTCTTCAACATGTACAAGAAAGTGATGTTAATCACCTCATCAATTCCATATGTATCTGGTTCCTCATTTGTGATCCACAATGATCCTGTTTCTGTTCAACTCATTGATTCAAAATATCAGGCTTAAGAAAATTCTGGAGAGCAAACAGGGAAATCCTCATGTCCGTTTTGTAATGGAAACCTAGATTTTCTTTCCTTTCTTCTAAAAGGAAAAAAAATAAAAAGAAATGTAAATACTTATATCAGTTTAATTTAAAAATAACAGAACTATTCTATTTGTATTCTCAGTGACATATTTAGGCTGTTTTTAAATACCCTTATTAAATCTAATCATCCTTCCCAAAATATATTTGCATTTAACAGTGTTTTACAGCACCCCACAGCTCACTCTCTATGATATATCAAAAGAAATATGTGATGCTTTCTTTGCTGTCTCCCACAGCGGTCTAAGGAAGAAAATGGAAAAAACTATTTTCTTCTCTGTGTCCCAAAGACAGTTTAAGGACACCTGTGGTCTTTTCTGTGATTATATTTAACATTTACACTCATGTTCTAATCCCCTTTGGGTTAAGAAGAAAACACAAACCCATTAATTTGAAAACATTTAAATAATTTAATTGCATGGTCAAGGTATGGGAAGGGGTAAATTAACTTGGGATGGTAAGAGACACAGGACTATCTAAAAGACTCTTGGCTCTCCATTACTAACAGATCTCTCTTCATTTATAGCACATGATGGGATCCTGTAGCCACTAAGAGCCACTAATCCCTGAGAATTCAGAACAGATCCCTGAAATTCTTGGGTAATCGAATGGCAGGGACCTGGTGTTGGAGACCCTTCCCCAAAAAGATGTCACAGCTGCCCTCCAGAATGAGAACCTGTGTTCCTACCTGTGAAAGCAAAAGTCAGCACTGGATTAGTTTCTGTCCTTGTAAACTCTTCAGTAGGTTGTCAGTGTCCCTTCCTGGGCAGGGGAGCTGGCAGCCATCAGGTCTCACAGGTTGTGCACAGCTGCAGGTACATATACTGTAACATGAGCAGAAACATAATTTTTCATAATTTCACTATTCCTTACTTCATAATACACATATTTTTATGATGGTAAATCTCCATAGCCCATATATAAGGATATATAATGTATATATAAAAAATATATAGGTTAAAATGTGTTATATTTATCTAACAACTGAAATGGCTTCCAAAAAAAAAATAGTACAAGTCTGGTTTGTCAACCTTCTTAAGTATCCTTACACTAGCCTTTCAGTGCAAAATCATCCTGGAGGAGTACACCCACTTTCTGGCACACCCAGGGTAAAAAAAGAAAAATAAAGTATGGAGTCCTGACGACTTTATGTTGCAGTGCAAGACTGGCTGGAGTAAGAGCTGTAAGGTAGCTGGAACATCCTTGAAACTTGAGCAAGATCCAAGTACAGGTTGGAGCTCTCAGCAGGTGTTGCCATAGTCAGAATTTTTTTGGCTGTTGTAGTCTGTATCCTCAGACTTGGGGACAAGCAAGTGCATGATGTTGTACCCTCCTTGCTGCTTTTGCCCTGCTGGCTGTGCAGTTGCATTTGGGCATTTGCTTCAAAAAGGAAAAGAAAAAAACTCAGAGCACAACCTGCTGTTAGCAGAAACACATAGTTTAATGGTGTTAGAGTGATGCTACCCATTATTTTCTAGATCACAAAGTCAGTGACTACATTTTGCATGCAAGTAACACAAAACAGCGAAGTTCAGTTTCTAGGGAAAGAGCAAACCTATTAGATGATCAAGGGACGAGAACTGATCAAGATAAATCTAAAAGAACAATGTAAATCCATTAAGCTGGTAATTGCCTATGTGTGACAAATTTATTTTATTACCACACTTTTCTTGTAGTAATACTGACACAACACTATAAAATTTAGGGCTCTTTTTCATGTCTGTTCCATCCCAGTGGGATCTCTGGCTGAAATTCTGCTCCAAGGAATACAGCACATAATCAGTCCCTTTGAAACTGCCTCAGTAATGCTCAATCCATATAAATCTGGATGCCAATTATGCTAATGAAACTGCAATGGGCCCGTGGTTCTTGCCATCCTTTAACAGTGCTGTAAAACTACTGTCATACTCAGCAACTAAATTTTTGTAGCATATGACCACATAGAATACTAAAATCTGCTGCATGTCAGAGCTTATGCCACATGTTATCCAAACCTAATCCTGCTAAGAACACAAAGAAAGCAACAGGTAACTGTAGAAAGTTTGGGATTTTTTTTTGTTTTGGTTTGGTTTGGTTTTGGTTTTTAGGTTTGGTTGTTGTTGTTGTTGTTGTTGATTTGGGGTTTTTTTTGTTACCTTTTCTACTTGTGCTGTATTCACATCTCCAGAAGGTCAAGGCTAATGCAAGTAATATTTATTTTGCCCTCCCTTCTTGCTTCCTGTTTCCCTCCAAAGCAATGCTCCATCCTGAGAAGCAAGCACTGGGAAACATAGCAGGCTAGCAAAATTTCAAGGTCCCCCTGAGAAAACCCAAGACAGATCCTTAACATCTTTTCTCCATTTTCTCTTTTGGGCTGATAGGATCTCTGACAGAAATACTCACTGATGCCTTGGCAGGGCATTTCTTTGGGCTCAGGCAGGACCTGTCAAGTGTGGTTTCTCTTTTCCTCTCTTGTGTTCTCTCACACAGCCCTACTGTGGCAAGGAGAACTCTTCTTCTTAGGCAACAAGTGGAGGGTTCAAAGTCTACATGTTAAAATGTCTACATCTCCTCCCCTTTGTCTTTACAGCCTGGCAATGTCATAATCATCTCTGCAATAGAGCACAGGCCAAGGTACCAATCAGCCTGTGTGAACAACAGCATTAAGGCTACTATAAAATCCCACTGAGGACACTTTTAGGGTGTGGTGGGAGTAGTTAATACAGATCATGAAAAGACACAGACAGGAATATGGATTCATCAGGAGTAATAGCTTTCATACATGATTAGTCAGGATAAAAGAAATGGCAATACGAGGCTGACCAGTCTACATTATTGGGCTATTACTTGCATCAGTGGAACCTGCCTTACTATTTTTTTTTCCTATCACCACCATTATGGTTCCAGCACTGCTGTGTTTCAGCAGCACTTCATCCCTTCTTCATGCACACTTATTACAAATACTACAGTCTCAAGGAAGCAGCTTTGAAATCACTGTTGCTGCAAGTGCATCTGCATTCAATTCTGCCATCACTTTGTGGACCATGACAATTGCAGTCCATAGTATTTTTATAAAAGCAGTCAAAATCTACAAATGTTAACCTTTTGCTTAATTTATTGTTTATAAAACAATAATATGCTGTCATGTTCTCCCATCGTCTCATCTGCCTTCGAAGGGAGATCTCACTAATGACACCAATTCCATGATGGGTGAGGGGTGCTTGGAATTACTGTTTTAGTTAATGGCTGGCACCTTTTCTAGGGACAGACTTCATTCCTTGGTGTGCCTGCAAATCCTTGCTAATGTTCCTCCCTGACTTCCCAGGGCACTGGTTGAAGAGTAAAGGCAGCCTGTGATGGGGAGGTCCTTCAGCTCACAGGAGTCACCTACTCCACCCCTGCTACACAGGCTGCAGAAGAGTTCATTAAGCAGCTCCTAAACCATTTGCAGCCTGTCACTTGAAAATGTAGCTTCACAGGCTCCCAAATGAGGCAGAAATACTAATCTTCTCATGTTTCCTGACACTTACTGTTCCTTTTCTTGACTCAGAGCCCAGAGATGTGCTATGATACTTGATCTTTAGGCTGCTCAGATGTAACACAAAGTAACAAAGTAATTTCCAAAATTAAATCTCCTGACACTGACATAGCACTGACAACGTTCAGATAACTATTTATTTTTCTCCAAGGAAAATTAAGAAAATATTAAACATAGTTGTTATTTGCTTAACTGGTTCAATATTATTATTTATTTCTTACATACATCTCTATTTTAACTTAACTAGATTTGCCTTCTTCTCAGTACTCTAGAAAAAGAGGAGCAAGGACATGACACCCCAACATAACAAGGCACACCCTTCTCTCTGCATTTCACTGTTGGCTTCAGCATCCCATCCTCAGGCCTGAGCTAGATATTACAAGAGCAGTTGCTGCAGCCTGGGCTTGGGGAGCAGGCTAAGCAGCAGCCCAGCAGTGTTACACTGCTCCTGTGTTTGTGAGGATCATCTGGTTGCTGTCTGTGGTCTGAACTGCTTCTCAGAAGCGTTCAGATACACACACACACACACACACAGTGGGATAAAATGCTCTCAGGAAAAACTCGTACTCACACCTGGACTTGCAAAGATACACATAACGAATGCAGAAATATACACACGGGCACATGGAAAACTCAACAGTTCTGTGGAGTTTGCCCATATCTTACGCTCCTTGAAGCTTGAGTATTGATTTCATCATTCCCTCCTTGCTACTCACTGCTGCCACCACGTGTTAACCACAATTTTGGGTTTTTTTCGGAAAGAATAGTGCCCCTTGAAATAGAAACATGTTCTGCTGTGGGTGAGAAGGACCTGGAATTTGGCAGTACTCCAAGAGAAAAGATGTGAAATGGGAAGGCCATTCCTTGGCCGACTGGACATTGCTGGAAACGGTATAACAAGCTTCAGAAGAGGCCCCTATAAGCAAAACTTCAAATTCTGAATTGAGGATTCATGCTATTTATTACCAGTACAGTTTATGGATGTGTGCTAGGAAGTGCCAGGCTAGTGTTATTAAGTTCAACTTCATACACTGACAGTTTTTTTCTCTCTCTCTCTCCCCCATGCCTTCTTCTTGCACTTGGATCTCCTGTCATGCTTTCTGAGGATGAAAAATGCATTAATAATGAACAAAAGTAGAATGCAGTCAGGAAAACATTTTTTTCCTAATTCCCATGATCTGGTACTGTGCCTGTTCCTTTGTGAATGAAAGGCAGTCTTCCAGTTTGGGCTTAATAAAAGTAATTGTGGTATATATATATATATTATATATATATATAATAAAAGTTCCTTTGTGAATGAAAGGCAGTCTTCCAGTTTGGGCTTAATAAAAGTAATTGTGGATATTTTTACTGTTGGTACAAATGACTAATTAAATCATTATCAACATTTGCTGTGTCTCTATCATATCATACAAAATATGGGTAAGTTTTACCCATGTCATTACACACTACTAAAAATGAATGTGGCTCAGAGCTAATAGGACAGCAAATTTCTACAAGCTGAACTTCCCCCAGTGTGGCTTGGTTCTCAGCTAAATTTATTCCATCTTAAATAACTCCTGAAGGATAACATTTAAGTGACAATCTGTTGATAGCTAATCACAAGCCTACAGTGTATCATTTCAATGGAGTGTCTCGATGTGCAAGTTAAGGTTAGTGTAACAATTTGCTGGTTTATGGTTTTGTTGAGGGAAACTGAGCATATGCAAGGCTTAGCTGTTCTCTCTTCCCTCTGTCTGGCAAGGTCTGAAAGCACATGCCTAGGTATAGATGCAGTGCTACCAGTTCTCACTTTGGTTAATGTGTTACCAGCACATACTCCCGGGCCAAGGAATGATTTCAGAATATCAGTTTGCATTTAAAACATAAATTCAAGCTTGGTTTCCAGCTTTTGTGACTGAGAGATAATGGATGGTTAATCCCAGCTCCAGGCCAAGAATGATACTGAAGATGAGTATGAAGATGTGACATTGTAGCATTTCATGTTTCTGAGAGACTGTTTATGCATATGAAAGTTTGTCTTAAGTCAGTGGTCCTGTACACAGGTGTCCTTGCAGCTGTTTGTCACACCTTGCTGGATCAGCATGCTGGGGAAGGATAGGGAGCTAACGCTCAGTCAGGATGGAGAAGGAGAGAAAATGGGAGAAGACACTGATACGAAGCTCTGATGTTACTGTGGAGAAATTTTAGCCTGTTTAGGATTTACTTCTCCTTTTGCACATTGTTTAATTCCAGTGCCTATGAGGACGTTTAAGAGGAAACAGAACCAGGATTTTTGTGGTTGTGCATGGCAAAGGCATGTGAGAA